ATTAAAATATGCATATCAATAAATATTTAGATGAACATTGACCTACAACATTTATTCGATTTTTAAAATATAAACATGGACAAATTCAAAATAATATTTGTGAGAAAATATCAATGCAAGTGTGCATCATAAATTATAATATTATTATTGATAGCTTCTATTGAACTTGCAATACCTTGTAATTTCCCTAGTAATTTTTTTCTTATAACTTTTATTTTACCTTTTTAATATATAAACACAATCCAAAGCATTAAGTCTTAATATTGTCCACTTGTCAAATATAATTCAATATTTACTATCAATTATTGTACTGTATTATATCTATAACTTTGTAAACACTGTATTATAAATTTCAGAATTGTTGATAAATGGGATTTTTTAATGCTTATAAACGTGTAAAAATGGAAAAGTCATATTGCAACCCATCAACAGTTATAGATTAGAAATTTAAAGGCACCTTATAATTACTTTTTTTTGCATATATATTTATATTTTCTAATTTTCCGATTGGTAAATAATAATAATTGTGACTACATATAGAAAAATTGGATTTTTTATCACTAATATGCAAGAGCGCCCATAAGAAAATTCTCAAGGGGAGGGACAACATTTTAATTTATCAATCTATTATAATATATTATAATTTAATAATAAATATTAAATTATTAAATTATAATTTATAAATTTATTTATTTTTTTAATGGTTTTCACTTTTCTATTTTCAACTATAATCTCTACTCTCTAGTTATCATAAAACTAATATTGCAATACTTATAAAGTTATAAATAATACCTTTATTTATATCTAATGAACATTATTTATTATTTTTAAACTAAGAAAATTTAACATTATATTACTCTACAATAACACTAAGTAATATCATACGTTGGATAATAGGTATTGGGTGGTAGTGGGTACCGACAGCCGGGCAATGGCATATATAAAAATACCCATTCTGTTTCCGTATTTCCTTATTACATATTATATGGATATAATTATAATTATATATAAATCTGTAATCATAAATAAAATATTATGGAGGTTTCTACACACACACACATATACATAGCGTATCTGTTATTTATAGCTGATAACCTAATTTGCCAAACTAAATAAACCAATTTTTCATTAACAAATTATAAATTTTGATACATTTAACTAATTTTTTTTAAACTGTACGTAAATAAATAAATAGATTCTGATCACAGTAAACAATTTTAAAACATTTTTGACATTTTCCAGGGGGGGAGGGTATATCCCTCCCTTGCCCCCATATGGGTGCCCTTGCTACTATGTCTACTAGGTACTACTCGAAAAAGTGTTCACGGAAAAAGAAAAAAACTAAAAGCCTATTGCAAAACCAACACATTCCATGAATTGAAGTTTTCTGTTAAGCCGTCCTACAAATATAAATACTTAACATTAATTTCGAATCTATTGAATTAATTCAATAACGCAAAACTATCATTGACACTAAAGTGTACAAATCGACACGTCCGAAAAGTTACCGTAAATGTTCTATACAAAACACAATCGTAGAATTAAAAAACTTATCTGAGAAAGAAAAGAATAACAACTGTTTCCATCTAGTTGTTATTTTATGACATAATATTAACATGAAAAGAAATTACTCAATTTTTGTCCGTTGTTATTTCGTTTATATTCTGATTTTTCTTAATTTAAAATATTATAAAACAATAAGAAAGAAAGTTAAAATCGATAAACGCATTTAAAAACATGACTAAGATTAATCAATTTGTAGTTTCAAAAAGATTTCATACAGAATCTCACAAGCAATTAACTTTCAATTAATTGTATTGTCATCTATATTTTTTTTCATATTCAAGTTGTCAATTACAGCGATCCCATCAAAATTGTTGAACTATTTTTTTGACGTACCTTTTAAAGCTCTATTATTCAAAATAATTGTTTTCTCTTGTAAACATCGCAAAGGTTAGTATAGTTATCTTAAAACTCTCCTGATCTCCTTGAGGATCCATTAAAAAACGGGATTACAATTATTGTGAAATCAAACTTTATTGTATAAAAATAATTGTATGGCAACCCCACTAATATTGTATTAGCATATTTTATTTATTATTGAAAGTTACTTATAATTATACTACCCATTTACCAATATTGTTCATGCATTATTCAATAAAATAAAAGCTCATAAATCATGTTACATATTTACTGTAGGTACCTATTAGTTAATGTATTTAGTATAAGAATAATAATATGATTTATTTGAAAATTAAGTGCAATCAAAAATTAAATATAACAATTATACATAACTTATTTTAAGTTAACATGGAGATACCACAGCAAATTATGATATAGTGTTTGTCTTAAGAAACTCAAGTTTAAATGTAGGTACAACTAGTACATTGTTTATTATTATTATATTGTTATGCTTACACATAGTATTGACTATTGACTATTGTTAAGGAGTGTAAATAATGTAGAATATAGATAGTAAAAGTATTGTAATGTAGGTACTTTGTGTAGTATCAAAACATTAAACGGCAAATTTGAAGTAGATTAATTTATTGAATTACACTATGTATACATATAGATTTTATAAGTAGGTACACAGCGTGGTACAAGGGGGTGGACCGTTTGCACAATACTTATCCATATTTAAGTAATTACAATTGTTTATTTAAGTAGATTTTAATATTATTTTCTATAAATACATTTTTTGAATAATATCAGACAAATAATCAATGATAACATTTAGTTTTAGAAAACTGTATTAAATACTGCAAATTAATTACATTTTGATTAAGCCTTAATCTTAAACTCTACCTATACGTAAGTTAAAAATGACTTTTAAGCAACAACTTTATAAATGGAACATTCATCTATACTGATTATAGTTTTTGTTTAATTTGGCAATATATAAGGATCAGATATTATTCGAAATTTCGAATTCGCTCACTTTAACACTGTAGTATATAAATAGGTGTGTGATATTAGGTATAAATGTAATGGTAAATATAGAATTCGAAAGTTATTCTGAACAGAGGTCAGTTAACGATGACTTTAACGGTTCTAAAAAAATTTAATCAGGAACAGACTTTTTTTTAATTCTATGACTGTCGTCGAAAGTTTTTTCTTACGCTTCGAAAAGCTATCGAGAAAATTAAAAAATTACCTCTTCGAGTACTATTGATACTTGATTTCTAAATTTTTTTCCATTCCATACGAAATTAAACGCTGTTTTCTTTAAATCGAAAAAATGTTCATGGAAAAAAAATAAAGTAATAAAAACATCATCGTAAATTCGTAAAACTATTACTTTGCTCGCTTCACTTAGAATCTAAAATGTTACTTGAGTAAAAATTGGTTATAACAATGTTGGTAATGCACGACAAATTGGTTATATCAATATTGGTTAACACAATAAATCGGTCTTCAAACACTCAAAGTGTTATTGCCTTATCGCTGCCAAAAAAAATCCATATAAAATACAGAGTGCCCCACGGTGTTTATCCCGTTAATAACATATTTTCTAAATATCTAATTTTATAGAATCTAATTTAATCAAATTAGATTGTTATATTAAATTTTTTTATTTTGATACATTTCTATGATATTTGCCTTTTTGTATAATTTTATCTTTTGAGATTACTAAATTTGTAGATTTGTTTCTTCTAAAAATGTTTAAAGTATGTTTAATAATTCATCAATTTCTTATAAAATATTAATTGAAAAACTAATAGACACAAATATAAATAAAATTGGAAATTCTTATTGATATTATATAAAATAAAACAAAACGATTACAAAATGTAAATTAATAACAATTTAACTTTTACATAGTTTATAAAATCAGACCGTCTAATTTTTTTCTCTTAGACAAAAAATAATTTAACTTAATAATTACAAAAGATATAGTACAAAATTAAATAAATAATATGATCATGTAAAACAATATTTATGGATTTTCAAAAACAAACTATTTAAAAAAAAGTTTAAACGGGGATAAACATGGGTTCAACCCCGGGTTCCACCATCTTACAGTTAATACATTATCCTAAATTGTACACATATCTTTACAACAAAGTTTCGGTCAGGACAACATAACGGATAAAAGTGCCACTTATTATTATCTCCATCGGTATTATTAATCATTGAATCGTTATAAGAGGTTTCTGTGAACCATAATATTTATATTGTTTCACCAAATATGGTCTTAATCGATTTAAAACTAAATCCTAAGTATCACAATAATAGTTATTCTACAGATTAAACTTTCATCTATGTGTTTTTATTAATAAGAAAATGAATACATATACTGCGCTACTGTATTATTTATAATTTAAGAGTACCAACTACTGTTCTACATCAAGATATTAAAATAATCTAATTTAAATTTAAAATATGCAATACCTATCTAAAAATTTGGATACGCTGATTGGAGTGTTGTAAAATAGTTATTAATATAAATATTATGCACAACTAATGACATTTGAAAAAAAAAACTATTCCTTATACTTTTCAAGTACCTTACGTTTTTTCTTTCTTAACTTTATACCATAAAGATAAATATACAATACCCAGTCTTTATTCATTAACAATTAATTATACATTTTATGCTATTTATAATTTGTTAAATTTCTTTACATTTCATAATACAAAAATAATAATGCCAAATTTTAATTATTTATCTATTTATAATAATAAAGTAAGTGAAATATCTACCTAATAACTTCTAAACGTTTCTTATTAAACTAAGATTACCAAATACTAGAATATATTATTATGAACATAACTAGAATTCGGCGATTTCACTATTGGCAATCGGTAGAGAATGAAAACAATACTTCGAAATATTTACTTAAGAATAATTAATTGTTGACCTCGTTATAGTCGTTTCAAACGATTTTGTTACTAATAACAAGTTGGATAATATGGTATTTCAACTTTGACGTTTTAGTGCCTTCTTAATAATATTAATATCTATGTAATGAGATTTACTTATAGTATACACTTACCTATTTTACGATGAGTTATTCGCCGAAGACCACGACAGCTGATTTTTACTCAGTTATCACACACCACAGAGTTGGTCGAAAATCAAATTCTCAACATCTTCCGGTGTGCAACCAGCCAAATAAAACACACACGCACATATACGCACTGTACCAGCACTCGGGCGAACTCGGGTGTTACGATCTATACCACAACTGGACAACGGCGTCGCTCTGCGTGATCAGAAACATCATATTATTATTATTATGTGATCATCAAAATGAAAACAAAAAACAAAACAAAACAAAAATCTCGTCTTACAAAGCCCTACCGACTACCCGGACTACGGTTCTAGCACTGCCGCCCGCAAATGGAGTACAAAATACCCCTCGCGACTCCGACTCCCCTCCAACCCCAACCCCCGTTATTGGGCGCTGGTAGCGCCCTGGTCCCCAAAGCGGGACTTGCGTGGAAACGCTTGGCGCGGGCAACACGTAAACGACGGCGCGGCGCCCGGCGATCTTCTGAGATTATATAGCTGGGCTACGCTAATACCAAGCCACAAGGTGGTCGCTCGTGCTGTACGTGCACGTTGAGACTAAATCCCGTATAGGTGCCTATCTTTTTGCTCATTAATACTACTTTTAAGTGCGTGTCACGGCGATATACACTACACGATACTCTAAAGGTTATATGATATTATTTTTGAAGTGTTAAAACGTGAACTCAGTAGTATTTATTGTTTTAGTTGCCTACCTATAGTCATAAAATAAATGACTTGCTAATGGTGTACGGATATTATTATGAGATACACATAATTATACATGACGATGTATATGCACACGAATAAATAATGATAAACAGTTTTCATTGAACTACATTTCACATTTTTCTCCTTATCTTGTGCCATCCCCGAAAAAACATCCACCAAATTTACAAGAAAGTAAACAATTCGTTCGTAATAGTAAATCTATTTATTATTTTAGAAATTGTTGTTGAAAAGAATATCCAAAATATTTTCATAATTTTTTCAGTACTATTGTATGTATACCAACTATTTAAAATTATAATGATGTGTTACAATTTTTTTTTGTTTATTATAATACTACTTTTCGGTTATTTATTTATTTTTATTTCTATTATTTTTTCAGCATGAACTACGAGGCTATAAGTTTACCATTATTTTAACAGATTAAACTGAAATGATTTATACATATAGAGTGATAATATTCACATTAGACAACATGGTTATTTATTTTATTTATAACTTACCTAATGCATTGTAATATTATGTTTTTAAGCATTTATAGTTATAATTAATAATGTCGGAAAATAAATTCATGTTTAATTTTAAAAACTATATGGAAAACCTATTTAAAAAGTAATTCATCATTGTGTTTGGGTTAAAACATAAAAGTAATAGTACAATAATACATAAAATGGGCCAAGATTATCAAGAAAAACGTGTGTTCAACAACGATCAATTAATACGGTTTTGAGTACTTTTCTATTAAGTTTTACGAAAAATGATTTTTATATTAAATTCAAATTAAAATATTTAAGCAGAAAAACTATAAAGGAATTGGATGGATAACTGGAGTGATTCAAAAGCATTTATAAGTAAGTACTGTGATTCAAACAATAATTATGATTGGAGTTTGTACACATGCAGTTTTTTTCAAAATGTTTTACTGGAAACTATATTTTTCAAAATGTGTTAAATATAATAAATTGTGTGAATATGCGTAGGTATTTTGTATTTAAACTTTATGTTCAAATTTGAACATAAAAATGTGTATGAGGTTATAAAAAAACAGTTTTACAAATATAAACAGCATTATCATTGACATGTCCTTATCTCAACAATAATGCTTTATTATTATTAAAATATTAATAATAATAGTGGTGAACCAGAAATCCATCACATTCGAGAAATTAATTATTCTGAGAAGTACTCAGTTAAACAACATATTTTATAAGATTCATTCAAAAATGTTTGGAGATTATCTATATGTTTTTATTATTAAAAAGTCATTACAGACGCCTGCAGCTGGTAAAACATAAAAGCTCTACCCTAACATATAGACACAATTAATAATCAATATAAATAGTGATTATTGTGACATAAGGCAATCGAGACATTTTTATAATCGGAAAATTGAGTTACATATTTTGTGAAAAAAAATATATAAATAGTTGGATAAGCCTCACATAAAATATTTAATTTTAATTTTTAACAATTCCAGCAGTAGGTATATCCATCATTATATTTCTTAATAAATAATGGTTATTGTACTATTCTGAAATTATACAAAATAGCTAACCATAATATTTTGTCTTTAAAATAATAATTTAGTGGTGTAGAATTTACACTGTAGATGGATACCCACTACTTTAATGACCCGAGACAATTTATAACAAAAGACGCTGATATTCGAATGTTTAATGGCTTAAATGTTTAATAGGTAGTATGTCATTGCTAGGTGTGCCATAATAATTAACCCAGTTTTAACAATGGTGTGATAATAAAAAAAAAATAGATTAGTACTAACTCGTGGTATAATGATCAGGGACGTCTGCAGATAATCATTTCAGTGCGTACAACACGTTTGATAAATTTGAAATCTTTTAAATAGGTTCTGTTAAGCCTAATTTTTAAACATTACAACAAATAATGAAATCATCATAAATGTTGTCTCATAATTTTTTATTTCCATTTTATTATATTAATTTATTGGAATATCTTTAGCTTTCTTTTTTTTATCCCATAATCTGAACTATGTGACGAGTTGTAATTATTTAATAATAGTAAAGATATAAAAACATTTAACTCTTACCCTACTTTGTATACATAATATATAGTAAATTAATCATAGGGATCATTACATATATTCAAAAACATGCTACTGTAATAAAATGTTGGCTTTAATAACTTTTGCAATAAAAATGTACCATACAAACGAACATAAAATTTAAAATAAAATTTCATTAAGATACTGTTAATATAGATATACTTTATTTTTACTTTGATTAATCTCATAGCTACCTACACTTTTTTGAATTGTATTCACAAACACAAAATATTGTCGTACAAACTGTTCAATTATTATTCGTTAAATATGTTATTGACAGTGATGTTATTTTTAAACGATACATTTATAGTTTATTATTGTTAATAATTTATGACAAATATAACAACATGATAGCTGTCATAATCATTATAATATAGGTAATAATGATTAAAAATTATAAAAAGAAAATATGTATTATAATATAATAAATCTCTTTGCCAATAACTTGAGTAGGAGGTACCTATACATACCAGGTGATACTTTTAAAATAAAACACTCATTATTTTTCTTACATAATTTAAAGTCATTAAAAAAAACAATACTAATTATTTATTATCATAATAAATGTTGTAGTTTTTAACTTTTTTGAATGAGAACAAATCGATTTTATTGTAAACGCCACTTATTGAGTAAATTTCCAATCTTTTTTTATTATTTCTCGAGTATACTTACTGAACTTATAACCCCTCAAACAACAAACTAGATACAATTGTAAATACAAAAAACCACCCTCAATATTGAAGATTAAAGCATTTTTACTGGTTTAAAATGTGCCTTCAAACAAAAAAAAATATAACCATCATTGCGAAACCAATAGCTTAGCTCAGAATCAAAAATAACGTAAAAACGGGAATATTTATTGAATACCATTTTTTTACAATATACTTTTTGTTATGTGCTGTAATTAAAAAATAAATAATAGTAAATACTTTGAATTAACCTGCACAAACTAAATAATATTTAAAATAAAGTCATCATTTTTTTTTAAGTAACCATGTTTATAATTATATGATAATTATTACAGTTTTTAAATTCGTCATAATCAGGAACAATTCTTTCTTTATTATGCAAAAAAATGGATAAAATGTTTAATTTTAATACATTAGGTTTAACATATTAATACAAGATTCCTCGAAAGTTTTTCCCAGTGAATTGTATTAAAACTTAAAAGCCACATTAATTCTTTATTACCGTTTTAATTTTAAATTTTGTCAAGATAGTAACGTAATTATATTGGATATTTAAACATAAAATAATGATTTATCTTCAAACGATTATTTTGTTCTTATTAAAAATATTAACAAATTAACAAATTTGAAACGTGCCATTGTTACTTAAATGTTTTTTTTCATCCATACACAATACAATTTGAAATGTATTGAGACTAATTTTAAGCTATTTTTATTATGAACTGTTTCATATTATTCTGTGGTATATGGAAAAAATAATTTTAACCTACCATAATATTAATATAAAAATAAATTTCTAATAGTTATATAAATAATAAGGCATCATACTGATGTCCATCTCTGCTCAGAATAGTTTTTCGTACGCACCATCAATATTATTATTGAAAATTAATATCTAACACATCCATTACATTACCTTCTCAATTATGAGGTACGAATCTCCTCTACAACACACCAGAGTGTCTTACAGGTTTTTTTTTAAATTTTACTTGCAAAATTAATAAAACATTTTTCAGTTGTATAACATAATATAAAAAATTCTGTACATTTTGGTCCGAAGTATAAAAAGAAAAACGTTTCATTATTAATAATTTCATATTGGCTTGGATGATTTTCAAATTTGAAAAAAAAACTATTAGTTCTAGTAGAACATGATTGAATGTGGTCCCATATTAAGATAGGTGCCTATTATACTCTACATTCTCAAAACTATGAACAAGTCACGATAATAATAGATAAGATTAAATCACACCATAGGAATATTCAATTTATTTAGGTACGAGTTACACCTAATAAATAAAACAATATATTGTTTTCGCTTTTAAAATATTGTACACCTTGAGTAAAACGCAACCTAGTTTCAGGCACTGTAGTAGTATTCTCCTCTACATTACAATCAATCAACTTTATATTGCAACGAGTGTACGACCGGACACTCGGACACTGTGTTCTTTCTACCGCTGTCGACCTCCGTTGTCGTTTAATATCGGATCAACGTGCGCAAGTGTGTATGTGTATATGAGTGTGGTTTCGTGTATATTTATTCGGATTTTTTTTTCATAATATTTAGTGATAATTCATGGACAATAAACCTATGGTATATCTGATTTAACAAAACCAGAATAAATAAATCGTACATGCCAAGTAAGTAGTTCAAAAATCTATATTTTTTTCTCAATATTGATATTACATCGACTACTAGGCTATTAGTTTACATTGTATTTACATATTATAGTTAATAATAGTACAGGTTATGCTTCAATTAGGTTGTGTAATTCAATTTCCCTTAAGAAGTTAATAATTTTGATATTT